ACACATACACACACACACACACCCACACACACCCACACACACACACACACACACACACACGTGCGCGCGCTACACGTTCGTCGCTCACATTCATGGTTTGGAGCACTGAAACTGAAACGATTATTTCAGGTGATTTTTTTCGTCACCCTTACTGTTACAAATTCAAAGTGAAATAAAACTAGAATCTAGATTATAATACACTGAAACACACACCTTAAGCACAGACCTTATCCTCAGAATTGAGTATCCAAATGAAAAGAACGTACAACCAAGAACTATGAATAAAACAATGAAGAGCTTAGTAGGCTCTAAGAGATTAAATTAAACAGAAGGATACACATTACTCATTACACACAATACACAATCGTCGGCACGCACAAGCAATGACCCTCGATAAGAAGACCGGACTTCAAAGGCAGAGGAGCCAGACAGACAGCGAGTTTTGTCTAGTTTCGCTAAGTCCCAATACAAAACAACTGTCCGAAAGAAACTAGGTCTCTGGACGGCGAATCTGAAGAAACAATTATTAATTTATCCGGATCCATTTTTATAGAGAATGACTAGATCTAGAAGGTATTTCCAGATCTTCCAGTTGGCCTAGTCTTGTGCATCGGAGTTTTTTGTTGTTTTTGTTTTTGTTTTTATTTTTATTATTAAAAAAAAAAACTCTTTCAGGTCCCTAAAGGTACATTTTGTGGGTAGCTGTGGTTATAAAGTTCCTTCTTTCCCATCAAACTTCTCGTCTTCATATCATATCTCCACCTCCTTTTCTTTGTAGCCTATGCTAAAAATACTTCTATAATCTTCGGCACTTAAATATATTACCTTTTGTTGCAAGAACCGTAAAACTCACAAAAACTAAACAACATATTTTTTTAGCAGGAAATAGATTAGTTAACAGAAGATTTTTTGGGGTTGAAAAGCCACTACATTCAGCATTCTGTTGATCAGAATTTTATTCAAAGGATTTTATATTCTTTGATGATCCGTTAGGGTTAGGAAAAAAAGCATCCATTTTAAAGGGAACTAAATTTTGAAGTACATGTATGTAGCTGCATACTAATTAATGTATTCGTTTAATTTAGATCTATCATCAAAAATTGCTTTTTCCGTTACCTTTTCAACATTATTTTTGACTTAACAGAAATGTTTTACAACGTTCTTATTTTAAAAAGCTAGATCTAGGTATGTACGGTACCGGTACGGTTTTTTTTTAAACCTGAAAAATTAAACCTTTCCCTTTCTCTGGGTAACATAGTTGAAATAAACAAAATCGTAGTAGCCTAAACGGTATAAAATGTAGCTTCAACAATTCATATGTGCCTCGGCAATACACGTAAACCTCTCCTAAGTTTATTAACAATGTAGCCTACTTCGCACTTCGCCTTGACAAATTGTATCGTCTGGGGAAAAAACCCATTTAGCCTACATTTATTTTTAAACTTACAAGTGACTCTCGTCCTTCTTATCTTGGCTCTACTGCATTACATAAAGAGTTTCTTGAAAACTTGTCAGTCCACTTGACGGTATCTACTACAGGACAAGTCTGACAACTGTTCTTCTTGACGGTCTTAGATCTCACTAGATCTAGTCTAGATCTAGTTTACCAAAATCCGTAACCCTAAACCCAAACCCTCACCAGTCATCGGGTTACGGTTTCTGTTAAGGCTACATCTAGATTGAAAAACCTTCAAGTGAAACAATACAATTGTCAGAAACTAGAAACATCGTGGTAGACCGACGAGTGAAGTGGCACCATATTATGAAGAAAACAAAACAAAAGCATGTACAGTTTCAGACTTACACAGTCGATGTCTTGTCCCAGGTACATGTACTATAGAAACGGTACCGTGTAAGTGGAAGTCGAAAACACGCAGATCTTGAGTCCAACGACGCCACAGTCGTGTTACAAACACTAAAATCTACACAAGAATTCGTCCACACAAAGAACTGTTTCAGGCAGGCTAGTCTAGACGCTCAGAGTAAGAACGTAGATATCTAGGTTTCAGGGGATGAACCCACAACAGTCAAGCGCGCGGTAACTGATTGTAGAGGTCTATATATTGATAACTGACGTGGGCCCGAATAATAACCACCATAACACCGTATTGCTTTGTTCATACCGCCCACCACATTGATATGTGAACAACGATACCATAACGTTTAGTGTGTACTCATACTATTGTGGGTGCGTTTGCTCGGACTGGCACCACTGTACTCACTACTCGAAAAATAAACTTTCTTTTTTTGTGGCCAGCGATAGTCACACGTCTGGTGTCTATTCGTTCGCTCTCACGTGTGTACAGTGTACAGTACAGGGGTGTTCCCGGAGATAGGACTACACTAGACTATACACGTGCAAGCACGCACCACACCACACACCACACACCACACCACACACTACACACAAGCATCCCCTCGTCTCGTTCGTTAACTGTTAACACACTCCAACACGGAGTTGAAGCAGAGGCGTAGCCAAACAGGTAATCAAGTTGCCTCCTCGCAATCATATTGGGTACAGTCTAGGCCTTGGAGGAACTATTAATAGGTCTAGGCGATGTTTAATACCGCCTGGGATAGAGTAGTATTACAAGTTAAGTTAAGACTTAGGCGATCATTTTTATGACCACCTAGGTTTAGACCTATTTACTATGCTACTTTAAACCAATATACACATCGTGCTGGCAGCTTTTGAATAATAATTCGCGAGAAGAATTTAAAAGTTGTAAAAGGTGTGGCGTTAAAAGCTTAAGACGAGAGAGAGGGGGAGGGGAGAGGGAGAGAGAAAGGAGGGGAGAGGCGATGTAGAGAGGGAGGAGGAGGAGGAGGAGAGAGAGAGAGATAGAAAGATAGATAGAGAGAGACAAAGAGAGAGAGAGAGAGAGAGAGAGAGAGAGAGAGAGAGAGAGAGAGAGAGA